GCACCACCACTTCAGCAGCTATTAATTTATGAAGAATTCCATCTCACAAAGAGCAGCACCTTTATATGGAACGGATTGACAGCTTATTGCCACAATGGTAATGGCAACAAACGATTTTTTAAAAGTGAAAGACATAAGAGTACTGTCAGAACTTCAATTTTAGCATCAAATCCCCTCCTACTCTTGGATATCTGTAACTCTCAGTCTTAAATAATTTTAGCTCAATATCTAATAATTAGAGTATTCATAAATTTGTATTTTAAGTATTTTAGTATTTGTAATTAACATTTTATAAGCATTTTAGAATTTTTTAATTAGTATTTGTAAATTGACATTTTAATGTAATAACATGGCCCCACAAGCAACAGCTTTAATTTGTTATTGTGTATAAATAAAAGCTATTGTATTGTACATTGTCCTGTACTGTATGTTGTTGTATTTTGTTGTATTTTATTGCATGTATTGAATGTAGTGAATGTATGGTAAATTGAATTGTAAATTGTGTTGTAAATTGTATTGCATTGTATTGTAACTTGTATTGTTAATTGTGTTGTTATTTTTATTGTATTGTAAATTGAATTGTATTGTAATTTTATATTGTGCATTGTACTGCATTGCATTGCATTGTATTTCATCCTATTATGATAATGAATTATTTATTAATAATCTTTATTGAGTGATTAGCTGACATTACCATCTCTATGTTTATTGCCATCAAGAATTTCTAGTGAGAGGATTAAATTATGATCCTACAGTTATGCGTTTACATCTTTGTAGGATGACGAAGAACCACAAGATACCAAATTCCAGATTGATGGAGCATACATTCCCAGGATTTTTATGTTAGGTACAAAATGCTTATTTTGTAAAGTCAGGTACCATAAAATATTCCATACATTGTTTGTATGAGAAGGGACAGAAGGTGTCTGCATCACTGGAGGTGTTCATTAGTGAAGGTTCGAATGTATTGTGGATTGTATCTTTCAGACTCAGCTGGTAGGGTACAAAAGGACATCTACAACAAAAAGGGCAATCCTTCATATAAATACTATTATGGAAGCACACCAGGAAGTAAGTGATGATAGTTGGTACCATTTTTTTACTTGCTTAATTAAGACCTGTACTGTACATGAACTAAAAATTGGTTTAAGCTGCCAAGATGCCAGAGTATAATAGACCCTCTATTATACCTTTGGTGTCAAGACCATGGCCAGACGAGTTTGTCGAGCCATAGTTCATATTTTGGCTTGACATAATCAAGCTAAAATGCCCATGGTGAGACAAAACGAGGCAAATTCGGCTAAGTAACCATGATTATGCATCTATGTCAGGTCAGTGACTTAATATCGTAGGATATCAGGAAAGTAAATAAGGCTTCTGATTGGCTAATAGGCCTTTTGCATGTGACCGATAATTTCTAAACTTTTAGCTACAGCTGAATTTCAGAACTGGAAAGCACATGTTTTCAATAGACGGAACACCAATTTTGAGACCAATACCATGTACAGGGTAAGGTTAAGGTTTCATGACGATTTAAGTAGTGCAAAGGTTTTGTATGGAAGCGAAGAAGCTTTGCTCTTCAGGTACTTTTTCTGATTTTAATCACTACAAAAGGAAGCTGTTGGCATATAACTATTGGAGATAGAAAGACGAGTAAAATATTAGGAAGATTGAAAAAGTCTAATGGCTCTCAAACGGAAAGGCAAAGATTTTATGGCCGCTTGAAAACTTGCAAAATTACACGAATTTGTATAGAAATCCACCAGAGCGTGACTGGAGGGCAAAGCCTCTTCTTCTCATACAAGTACTTCTAATTTCTAACGTCCATAAAATTCTCCTCTTAAATGATAAACCTGAACATGTGCTTGTAAGCCTCTTTGTAAATGTTCTTTCCTATTTCTGATAACATTATGCATTACCAATGGCTAACTCAGTGTGTTCTTGAAAAGCACATCACGTGACAAACTGCTTGCAAAAGGCCTATTGCGAAGTAATTAGACCGAGGGGAATACAGTTCAGAGAGTGAACGAGCGAGTCGTTTCAAAATCTGAAGCCAATTTGAATTCACGGGCACGATTACTGAATTGTACCACAGGAGATCCAATTACTCATTGAACCGTACTAGTGTGCCCTGGTTAACAAACTGGCAGCAGCTTCCTTGCGTTTTCGAAGTGTCGCTGAAGGGAATTTAGATAAAATTTTGAACGGCTAAAACAACTCGATTATTCGCTCTCGATTTCTATGTGTGATACCTCGTCAACAATCACGTGATGGAAATCTCGAGCTCACATTCTGCTTGTTAAATAGAAGCACAAATAAACAATGATTTTATCAATTTTTCACATTTCTCCTTTGTATGTTTTATTCCAGTTGTAGATAGCATGAAAGAAACCCTGGAGAAAATGATAGATGGCGTTCGCATTGGGGATGAACTATAACATTCTAGAGCCTCCTGATACGCATTTTTAGTTTTCTGCTAGAGGACCAGTGTACCAGATAACCCTCTCTCCTCAGACACTTCACGGTTTTTGCTTTTTGTGGGTCTTAACTTTTGCATTCCAAAGTTGTATTCGCGTTTTTGAAATTAGCAATATTTAAACAAGCCAAGAAATAACATTTAAATACAGATTTTACTTTTTAACTTTAATCTTGTTCTAAAATTCATTTTAACGGTAATCGTGCGATTACGTATCAAAGAAACTTATCATTCGGTGTATTTTTTCCTTTCTTCCCATTGGCTGAGAACCCAACACGTGGCCTGTAAATAACTGCCTACAAATAATGGTCTGCTCATGCGTAACACCGTCTAATTTATGTGTTTTGCTGCAAATATTCTACTCATGCGTACTACTGACCACGCTCTAGTGTGGAAAATGGCACATCGCTTCCCTAAGCTTTCAGAGACTGATTTTAGCATGGAATAAACTTGATGATCGAATAATAAAGCAGTTATTGAACTCTGTTATCGCAAAATAGCGTGCTTCGGCTTCGACAAGTAATTGATCTGCTTGCTTATATGCATCTTTTGGTGGCAGAAACGTTCAATTTCGTAAAAGACCACAAAATATTCACCGTCGCCAAGGAAAAAAGTAGCTCAGTATTTCACGTTGTCTGGCAGGTAGAAGTTAAGGAAATCATGACCGTTACTGTGTTTGGATATCTTATTGGAATTTATAGGATATTTTTTTACGATTTTATTTCTCCGTTTTCTCCTTTGTTTTAGTTTCGATTGAGAAGACATATTAAGCTCCCGAGACAGTGTTTTACCACATTTACAAACACCTCGAGCTTCGTAAAAAATACTCCTCTACGCGTCGTATCTTTAACTCTCTTCTCTGTCTGGAAATGTTGTCAAACAGGATCTTTCGCGTTTGATATATTGCTTGCGACGTTGCCCTTAGTGTGAACAATTCATGCTTTGTCGCCGCTTTGTCTTGCAACAAACGCTTAATTGTGCAACTATTTCGCAACATTTCAGTTTCCCCTGTTTCATTGGCTCGCCAACTGTATGACCTTTGCCCACTTAGAGAACCTGTCTACAGCCATGTAATAAGAAAAAGTAGTGCCCGGCGGAAGTGTTCAATGATTGGGTTATTGGCAAAACAGAATAATTAGACGCTAAAGGGTATAAAGAGGTTCGACGTTTGGGTCACTGCATAATACTCGCTACTCGCGTACGTACCAGGGAATCATAATTGTATTCTGCTAATAGTCGAGCATGTTGACGATAAGACGTGCAAGCCACGCTACTCAGCATAACGGTCCAGAAAAGGAAAAATCCCAGCGACAGAGGTCGAGTTATGAAAACGCTGTGTTAAAGGCCTATGGAATCGTTCCAGTGCACGAATATTCCTCAAGTTCCCAAGAAGAGACAGTTACTGATTTGAAACCAAGCCAGGTCAGATGGAAGGCAAGTGACTCTTCCGTCACCTGGAAGAATGAAACACCCAGCCACAAAAGCAGAGGGAATGGTACGATTAACGATAAACAGGCGAAAAATCCGTTTGAGACGGGACAGGCGAGGACAGCAGCCCAAGCAAAGAAGAAAGAGTATGAAAACGATGTGCTCAAAGCCTATGGATTGTTTTCTTCACTAGATATGTTTTTATAGTTTCCTAATTATAAGATTATTTTCTTGACGAGATTATCTCATAACAGAAAACATTATGACATGTTTTGTTATGTAACTCTCGTAATAGCATTGTGAGTGAATGTACCAAGGACCAAGGATCTTTTCAAGTATGTGTATCGTTTTTCATGCGGGAAATATCGCATTTATTGCATGTTTTACAGTTTGTTGTGATTCGATAACAACATTGGGTTTTTAAAACCAGGAATGCTAAACACTAAATAAGTTATTTTATCAGATCTGCTTAGCTTTTGCAACAGAAACCGCCTGCAACATTTCGTGGCTAATTAGTCATTGGGTAGAAATTAAATTTGCTGATAATTAGTGCCTGTGACTCATATTAATTACTTCTCTAATCAGTGGTTTGGAATATTTCATTTCGAAGCTAACTGTTAATTATTGGCTGTTGAATTGCGTTGCTAATTAGTAAATGGGACTCATTACTGGTGTTAATAATTGGTAATTAGTAACCAAAACCATTTAGTCTAACTTCAAAGCTAATTATTTGTTGATGCTATTTAATTTGCACGCTAATTTGTTATTGGTATTGCCTTATTTCATCACTAGTAAGTAAATATGACTACT